GAAACGTCCTATAGATGTCAATTAGGTCTAGCTGGTCCATTGTGTCCGTTAAAGTTTGTGTTTCCTTGTTCATTTTCTGTTTAGTTGATCTATCCATAGTTGTGAGTGGGGTGTTAAAGTCTCCTACTATTATTGTGTTACTATTAATTTCCTCTTTCATACTCGTTAGCGTTTGCCTTACATATTGCGGTGCTCCTATGTTGGGTGCATATATATTTATAATTGTTATAGCTTCTTCTTGGATTGATCCTTTGATCATTATGTAGTGTCCATCTTTGTCTCTTTTCACAGCCTTTATTTGAAAGTCTATTTTGTCTGATATGAGTATTGCGACTCCTGCTTTCTTTTGGTCTCCGTTTGCGTGGAATATTTTTTTCCAGCCCTTCACTTTTAGTCTGTATGTGTCCCTTGCTTTGAGGTGGGTCTCTTGTAGACAGCATATATAGGGGTCTTGCTTTTGTATCCATTCAGCCAGCCTTTGTCTTTTGGTTGGGGCATTCAACCCATTTACATTTAAGGTAATTATTGATAGGTATGGTCCCATTGCCATTTATTTTGTTGTTTGGGGTTCACGTTTATACCACCTTTCTGTGTTTCCTGTCTAGAGAAGATCCTTTAGTATTTGTTGAAGAGCTGGTTTGGTGGTGCTGAATTCTCTCAGCTTTTGCTTGTCTGTAAAGCTTTTGAGTTCTCCTTCATATCTGAATGAGATCCTTGCTGGGTAGAGTAATCTAGGTTGTAGGTTATTCTCTTTCATTACTTTAAGTATGTCCTGCCATTCCCTTCTGGCCTGCAGAGTTTCTATTGATAGATCAGCTGTTATCCTTATGGGAATCCCTTTGTGTGTTATTTGTTGTTTCTCCCTTGCTGCTTTTAATATTTGTTCTTTGTGTTTGATCTTTGTTAATTTGATTAATATGTGTCTTGGGGTGTTTCGCCTTGGGTTTATCCTGTTTGGGACTCTCTGGGTTTCTTGGACTTGGGTGGCTATTTTCTTCCCCATTTTAGGGAAGTTTTCAGCTATTATCTCCTCGAGTATCTTCTCATGGCCTTTCTTTTTGTCTTCTTCTTCTGGGACTCCTATGATTCGAATGTTGGGGTGTTTCACATTGTCCCAGAGGTCCCTGAGGTTGTCCTCATTTCTTTTCTTTTTTCTTTTTTCCTCTCTGCTTCATTTATTTCCACCATTTTATCTTCTAACTCACTTATCCTATCTTCTGTCTCTGTTATTCTACTCATGGTTCCCTCCAGAGTGTTTTTGATCTCATTTATTTCATTATTAATTTTTAATTGACTTTTTAAAATTTCTTCTAGGTCCTTGTTAAACATTTCTTGCATCTTCTCAATCTTTGTCTCCAGGCTATTTATTTGTAACTCCATTTTGTTTTCAAGATTTTGGATCATTTTTATTATCATTATTCTAAATTCTTTTTCAGGTAAATTCCCTATTTCCTCCTCTTTTGTTTGACTTGGTGGGCTTTTTTCATGTTCCTTTAGCTGTTGGGTATTTCTCTGCCTTTTCATCTTGTTTAGATTGCTGTGTCTGGAGTGGGCTTTCTGTATTCTTGTGGTCTGAGGTTCCTTTTTATTGTGGAGGTTTCACCCAGTGGGTGGGGTTGGACGATTGGTTTGTCAAGGTTTCCTGGTCAGGGAAGCTTGTGTCAGCGTTCTGGTGCGTGGAATTGGATTTCTTCTCTCTGGATTCCAATGGAGTGTCCAGTAATGAGTTTTGCGATGGGTCTATGTGTTAGGTGTGACTTTGGAGAGCCTGTATGTTGACACTCAGGTCTGTGTTCCTGCGTTGCTAAAGAATTTGCGTGGTATGTCTTGTACTGGAGCTTATTGGCTCTTGGGTGGTGGTTGGTTTTGGTGTAGGTATGGAAGCTTTTGGATGGTCTCTTATTCCTTAATGTTCTGTGTAGTCAGGAGTTTTCTGGTTTTCTCAGGATTTGGGCTTAAGTCTCCTGCCTCTGGATTTCAGTTTTGTTCTTCCAATAGTCTCAAGACTTCTCCAACTATACAGCACTGATAATAAAACTTCTAGGTTAATGGTGAAAAGATTCTCCACCGTGAGGGACAACCAGAGAGGTTCACAGAGTTACATGAAGAATAGGAGAGGGAGGAAGGAGATAGAGGTGATCAGGAGGAGAGAAAGGGGGACTCAAGAGGAGAGAGACAGATCTACGCAGTTATCTGTTCCCAAAGTGTTCTCCGTAGCCCAGACACCCACAAAGATTCACAGAGTTGGATTGGGAAGAGAAGGGGAAAGGAGGAAATAGAGGTGTTCTGAGGTAGAAAACAGAGAGTCAAAAGTGGGAGAGTAATCACCACACTCCTGAATAGAAATGGGAACTGAATATTGGACTCTTAAATGACCAAAATTTATATCACATACTACTGAAAAACAAAGATTAAAAATCTAGTGTAGAGGTTAGACTCTTTGAAATACAATATTTAAAAACAAAAACAAAAACACAAAAAAATTTAGAACTGTATATGAAGTTCGGTTTAAAAATAGGGTTTCTCTCTCTTTTTTTTTTTGGCAAGGTTATAGTGAAATGAAAATGACAATTAAGGAATAATAGAGGAGTATTAGAGGACTTTAAAAGGAAATAGGAGAGAAAAACAAGAAAAAGAAAAAAAAAGAAAAAAAAATTTTTTTTCCTAATCAAAAAAATCGTAAAAATATATGAAAATGAAAGTTGAGGAGTAATGGGGGAGTAATAGGGAATTTTAAAAGAAAATAAAAGAGAAAAAAGAAAAAATAAAAAAAAAGGAAAGAAAAAAAATTTTTTTTTTTTAACTAAAAAAATATATATACATATATATCTAGGAATTTCTCTGGAGTTGTTGCGGTCAGCGTAGGTTCAGTTCAATTTCAGATAGCTCCTCTTTCCAGCTTACACTTCTCGATATCTGTAGGCCCGTTCTGGTGTAGTCGGTGTTACCTTCAGGGATTTTAATCTGTTGCACCAGTCCTTTCTGAAGCGGTTCCCTTTGTTTATTTGGCTTCTGTTTGCCGTCTCTTTGGTGTCTAATTTCCGCCCTGACACAGGCGGGCGGAGGTGATCTCTTATTTAGGTTCTCTAGTTCAGTTCAGTCCTGCTACGGGGAGGGCGGGGCGCTGCAGACAGATACCGCTCTGTGTGGACAGCACTCACCGTGTTCTGGTCACACTGGGTTTGCCCCGCTCACGGGTGTCAGTGCTTTCCCCGTCTACACTGCTCAGGCTCCCGGCTGCTCTATATGGAGCGGGCCCTGCGTTGAGTGCGGTTCCAGTTTTCGGGTACTCCACAAAAGCGCGGATTCGGTTGCGCCTGCGTTTTGTGCCTTCCCCGGCCTGAGCGGCTCAGGCAGCCAGAGGCTTGGGCGTACTCTCCCCGGGTTCAGCGCGCTTTTTCCCTCCGCGGCCCCAGCGCACACCGCCAGTCGGGTCTCAGGAAGTCTTTAGATCCATCAAATGTATTTCTAATGGTAAAGGAAACAGTAGAAAATAATGTATTTTGATATAAGGAAAGTGAATCATGGTGTGGTTGGAAATGTTCATTAATGTACATTAGATTATTTTAAGGGATGGATATGTGTTTGATGAAAATGCAAATTGACATAACTATAAGATACAGGTTTTAATGATCCATTTCAGAAAATGATGATTAGATATTAGGTTATTTTGGTCAGAGAATAAAACTTTTTTATATAAGATAGAATTTCAGATATGACCTGAGATACTGATCTTATCTTTGAGTCATGAAAAAGATGTATATTGAAAAGGTTTAAAGCATCTCCTTAGGTATATATAAAGGAACTACGAAGTTTGAATAGTTTTACTTAAGTTTGACATTTTATTCATAAGAGTCTTAAATACTTAAACAACATATGTATTACTATTTAGTTGCTAGTTTAGAAAAAGTTACAGTGAAATACTTTTGATGTAAATTCCATTGATTAGGCAGATCATTTCCATAATTTATTTCCAGGAAAAATTTTAGGAAAAGGGGGGAAATCTGGCTAAAAGAAATTTTGTTTGTGGAACCACTGCCTAGAAGGGCAATGAAAGTTTTGACTCCAGACCAGGTCAGAAAACTTGCCACTTAGGGCAGAGATTAAAGAGAACCTTCCATGCTGGTAAAAAATGTAGTCTTTCTTATCCATAATTTTATAAATATACTTTAGACATCACTGCTGATTTATCAACATAAACCTCTAACCCTTCTAGCTGTACCAGCTTAATTTTGTCAGATTTCATTATTCTGCACTTGTCATTGATCTGTATTAGCACAAGAATTCCATAGAATTTCCTGACTGAATAGAGTATAAGAAATAACCTCAGAATATGTGGCTATATATATTCAAGTTTTAGGCTACAGCATAATTGTATATGAGTCAATGCATTTTGAAAATTTTGTTTAAAAAAATGTCCTTTGAATCAGAGATTAGGATGGTAGAATGTTACACATCTTTAGCTCTTTAGATAAAATTTTTCTTCCTTTCAGCCAGTGTTTGAAAATTATCTTTTAATCTAAAGGTTTTATTTCTTAAAACAAACTTTAATAAAACTTTAGACCTAGTTTTCTGGTGCAGGTATGATGTGAAGTTTTAACATGTGAGCGTCTCCTAGAGAGGCTATGTGGGAAATGAGGGAATTCACAGTCCACCAGGAGACAGAGTTGTGGTCCCGTCTCTGTTACTCTCCTGTTGTAGGACTTCAGGCAGGTCACACAACCCCCTTTTTGCCTCTCAGTGTTCCTCTTGGGTGAAGTCAGTTGAGGTTACTGTAAGTCCAATTAGCTCTACTAGTCCGTGTTTCCAAACTGATTTTTAAGAAGTGGAATTCTGTCTTGAAGGGAATTTTATGTGTAAGATAAGAAGGAAGTGAGGGTGAAGGACAAGGGAGCCCCCCTGTGTTCTGAGCGCAGCGTCGCGGCCCTCCCAGCACCACCCTCCAGCGTGCTGGGCTGGGTAGGCAAAGCCCCTCGGTGACTGACTGCGTTTGCTTCTAGGGGCTACCAGCAGCAGGATGCCCATGAGTTCATGCGCTACCTGTTAGACCACCTGCACTTGGAACTCCAGGGTGGCTTCAACGGTATTTCCCGCTCATCAATTCTGCAAGAGAATTCTACTCTGTCTGCAAGTAACAAATGTTGCATGTAAGATTTCATTTCCATTTGTTCACTAATCACAAGGGCTTAAAATACTTTGAATGTGTATTTTCCTACAGCTTCATTTTGGACTTAACTTTTCCAAAAATAATTTTATTTTTTTAACCTGTTCTTTAATCATACCGAGGCACTGATAACTTTTCTGAATTTTGGGGTTTTTTTGCCTATCAGTATGAACAAAACAACTGTTTGGTTGCTTTCCCAAGTACTAATACTTGGGATCAGAATGTTTATTATGCTAAGAAAGACATAATCGACTTTTATTTCAGCTTGGATTTTGGTTATTTGTCTCCCTGTGTTCAAATTTTGGGAAAAACTTTATACTTATCTATGCAGGAAAGGGACTTTCTAAGATGAATTCCCTAAAGAATGAAAGAAAATAATATATAGGGTTGCTGTCATATTATTGCCTGGCAGTCCATAAATCTGTAGTCTCATAGTTAATCTGATTGTATCAGAGAAGGGCAATTAATATGAATGGCCATACTTCTTAAAAATGTTTGATCCTCAAGGTTCTAGGAGCTGTGTTCAAGTTAGAAACAAGGATGGAGGGGGAAGGAACTGTGATCTGGTAGAAATGTCCCTGCTGCTAGCATCAGTTCAAACATAGGATTAGATAAGAAATTCTGCTTTGTATTTTATGTGGTGGTATAGTCATACAAGTAGGATGCTGAGCTGGGCTCTAAGGAGGCGAGTCCTTGGGAAGTGAGGGGGCATCACATTTTGTGATAGTCACAGGTGGTTCTTTTAGTAACTCCTGAGTTTTCAGTATTAATCCATATCTTTAAATGATATTTTAAATAATAGTAAGTTTTAAGTTTCATTAGTGAGTTAGGAACATAAAAGTGAAAGTCGCTCAGTCTTGTCCGATTCTTTATAACCCCATAGACTATACAGTCTATAGAATTCTCCAGGCTAGAATACTGGAGTGGGTAGCTATTCCCTTCTCAGATATTAAAAATTCAGGCTTCTTTATATTTCCTTAAATTCACTGGCGGATGCATTTCAGGATCTAAGGATGAGACTTGCTAAGACTGCAAAAAAAAAAAATCAACAAAAAAGGTCTCCTGTGTTTGTATTTATTCGTATAAACACATCAAACCCTACTGAAGGTGGGGGTGAGGATGGCAGAAATAAATAGCAGGTGGGTTCTTTTTAATATATAGAAAATCGTTAGTGCAAGTATAAAGGACCTCCTCAGCATAACAGCCTGTCCAAATAGCTAATATTTACACTTTCTTGGTGTGCAGTTATAATAAGTAGAATAGTGATTTTGAAACAATTTTAAAATAGCCAGACTTGATTAGTATCTTTTTTTCAGAGGAAGAAATTGTAAAGGAAGAAGTACATTGAGTTTAAATGTACTGCTTTTTAATAAAGCAGTTTCCACTTTAATTAAAGGCAGCAGAGTATGTGAATATCAGTATGAAAGGATCAGTCATAAACCCTTTATTTTCAGTAGGTTTTTTTGGGGTATATCCTTTGTAGTACTAAAGTCATGTATCTTATGAACAACTTAAAAAGCTACAGTGTATTTCTTTTACCAGTATAGAAGGAAGCCCTTTCAAAGAAAAGGAAGCAGAACTTTTAAAATAATAGGTTTGCTTGGGTAGGTTTTTTCCTGCCTCATCATTGCAATAGGTTTCATTTGAAGCACTCAAAGTGTGGTTCAGTGTGTTAGGAATACTATTGACTGCAAGTGACAGAAACTACCTCAAATTACTGTTAGTAAAAAAGAGCAATATACTGGCTCAGATAACTGCATAAGTTTACAAAAGTTCACATTTGTGTTCATTATAGTGCTATTAATGAAAGCACACAATAAAATAACCTCAGTACCATTAATAATTTATTTATATTCTGATTTATCTTTATTTGTTCTGTTGACAGTTTTATGTGGGTTCCTGTGGTTGCAGTGAAACCTGGAGGCATTTGGGATTTTAAATATTTTTTACCAAAGTATATACCCATCAATACTATATTGTTAAGAGAAGGAGCATAGTGTTCAGAGAAGGTGCTTAGGTCAGGCCAGCTGTGTGAACTTGGGCCAAGTTATTTAACCTTTGAACTTCAGCTTCCTTGTCTGTAAGATGGGGATAATCTTCTCTACCTCAGAGTTGTTGTGAGCATTAGTTTAGCACACGGCAAGTACTTAGAATGGAGCGTGGCCCGTAAGTACATAAGTGCTTGTCAGCTGTTATTGTCCAAACCGTGGCACGCCGTGCACCTGTCAGAGTGAGGTACACATCCAGGATACATACTTAGGGAAGAGAAGACAAGCAGAAGGCAGGTATGACCCTGATTATTCAGATCAAAGATGCTTACAGTATTCAACAGGCTTTCTTTTCGGTAAGCACTTGTCTAAAAAGCATTGTACGTATATTCTCATATCATCATCACCAGGCTTCTAAGGTAGGTAGATGTTATTCCTATTTTACATTTGATGAAGCTGAGGCACACATAGGTTAAGTAACATTAGGACAATTAGTGTCTTATTGTTCTTACAGTGCTGTACATATTTTTGATCTCTACAAGGGAAATATTGTTTAAGTGTTTAATTGTGAAATCATCTCTCTACCAGTGATGACTAAGTATATGTTAAATTTGTTTACCTCATTTTCCCCAAATGTGACCATCTAAAAAAAATCTTAAACTATCTTTGATGAAGGTTGTTGTTCAAAGTAACGTAATTTAGAGAGATCCCCATATGATAAGAAATCTTGCAAAGGATCTAATATAAAAGGGTTTCCTATTTCCTGAGGGGTATATTTGAGGGAAAAGGGGTCCTCTTCCTCTGAGTGCAGGTATGTATGTGATCTATTAGTAATGGCAAATGTTCAGTGTTAGTAACTTTTGTATTATAGAAAGTAGTGGGATTGGGAGAGGGGTCAGAGGAAGGCCAGTGGCTTAAACCTTGTATTTGGTATACATCTATGTAGCTTTTAAGCTTTTGTGTTATTCTGTAATTTAAATTAACATATATATATCCCCCAAAGGGAGTGGGGAGTGACCTAGAGGAGCTTTTACATATATTTTAGTTTTTTACTGAGATATTTTCCTGAGATATTTTCCTGTGTGATTTTCTTTAGAAATGGAGCATCTACAGTTGTCACGGCTATATTCGGAGGCATTCTCCAAAATGAGGTTAACTGTCTCATATGTGGGACAGAATCTAGAAAGTTTGATCCATTCCTAGGTAAGACATATTTGGCATGTGATGATATGATACTGTATTAAAATAATAACTGCACTGTTTCCTTTGAAAGCTAAGACAGTAAAGAGATAAATCCGTAAAAATACATCATTTTTGGAAATTTTTTTTTGCTTGGTTATATATTCCTTTAACAGTTCTGTTTTCCTGTTTCCTTTTAAGACCTTTCATTAGATATTCCAAGTCAGTTCAGAAATAAGCGCTCTAAGAATCAAGAAAATGGACCAACTTGTTCATTACGAGGTAAAGATACTTTAATATTCTGGAGTTTTTCCCCCACCCTGAAATAGCTGAATAATACATTTATAAGCTTCATCTGTAAGTGCTGTGTTGTTGATTGTTTTAATGAATTTGTGCTATAACTTAAGTCAAACCTGAATGTCTCTTCCTGTCCAAAAAAATTGTTTAGCAAAAATACCTGCCAGAGGTATTGACCTGCTATCAAGTGTAAAATATTTCTTACCTTTCTCTTTTTATTTATTTTTGAACTTTTTATTTTGTATTGGTGTGAGGTCGACTAATAATGTTGTGATAGTTTCAGGTGGACAGCAAAGGGACTCAGCCATATCTATATGCATATGTATCTGTTCTGCCCCAGACGCTTCTGTCTTCTTTTTAATAATTGTAACTCTATCACAGAACTTTCTTCTGATCTAATGAAATAGAATTTATTCTATGGCTATTCCCCTAGTACCAGAGGGAGAAAGAACCTCAGAAAAGCTTTATGAATTGTGGTGTCATTTACTCTTTTGTATGATAATTTGAGAGCTCTTGATGATAACAACTGTTGGTTAAGCCTGAGGCCTTGCTTTTAATTGGAAGATTAAAATTCACTTTTGAGAGGTTTTTGAACAAATTTTTTCCTTCGTGATTTAGTCAAGGCAAAAGACCTGTCCTTGATCAACCACTAAAATGACTATTCTTTTCAATCAGAGAAAGAACCTAGGATAGGGGGAAAAGAAAAAAAGAGGATCTAGTATGTGTCCTGTCATTAAGGACCACTACAGTGAAGGCAGATAACAAAATTTCTACCCTGAAGGGCATGTTCACAAAAAAACAGTTTTAGGTAATGTTGTCATAATGATTTATATACATATTATGTAATCTTTTCTTACAGAACAGAAGGTTCTGTTGGTCTAAACATGCAACCACAAAGTCACATGTGCCTATTAAAATTTAATCGAAATTTAAAACTCAGGTGCTCAGTAGCCATATAGAGCCAGTGGTCAGCACAGATGCAGAATATTTCCACTATTGCAGAAAGTGCCATCATGGACAGTGCTGCTCTAGAATCAAATTATTCAGCAAAATGTATATGAAAACACTTCGTAAATGCTTTTAGTTTGTTCTCCATCTGTCTGACAGTGTTGTCTGTCTTTTCTGAACAAGAGTATGGAATAAATTTAAGGAAGCCCCATTCATGCTGCTGCTGCTGCTAAGTCATGTCAGCCGTGTCCGACTCTGTGCGACCCCATAGACAGCAGCCCACCAGGCTCCCGTCCCTGGGATTCTCCAGGCAAGAACACGGGAGTGGGTTGCCATTTCCTTCTCTAGTGCATGAAAGTGAAGAGTGAAAGTGAAGTCGCTCAGTCGTGTCCGACTCTTAGTGACCCCATGGACTGTAGCTTACCAGGCTCCTCCATCCATGGGATTTCCCAGGCAAGAGTACTGGAGTGGGGTGCCATTGCCTTCTCCCCATTCATGCTACTTCCCCCTAAAATACGTGACTACAGTATGTTTCTCTAAAACTGTTTCTGGCCTGTTTGAGATTAAGAAAATATCACAGTTTACTTAATAGCAAATGTCAGATCATCTTCCCTGTATGTATACAGCATGTGAATTCAGGCTAATTTAAGCATAAAACAAACATTATTTGATCATTTAGAGAGGAAATCAATGAAAATTTTAGAAGAATTAGCCTTAAACTATATCATCTAAATTAGACTGAATTCATCTTAAAATTTCAATAAGAACACTAATATTAATGTTATTCTTCAGTATATACATATATATATGGGTATATATCTGAATAATATTTCCTCATGTTTAACAGCACTGATTTAGTCCAGATGATTTTTGACTGCAAGATACAGACACTCATTTGTTCATGTTTCTTTCCTTCTCTTCCTCAGTGCTGATTCCTCCCACCCCTCCTGAATTGGTCACATACCTGGTTCTTATTGCTTTCTATAACATTTCACTTAAACTTATCCCAGAATGCTCTAATACTGAGAGTTTTTTTTTTCTGGAGACCATCCAGGAGAGTGTATGACACACCTTACACAGGTGGTTTATAAGCTGTACTTAACTACAAACAAGAAAAGTGACAAGTTGCATTTGCCTCACATCCCAAATGGTATTTTTCTTGGCATAGACTCACTGAAATCTGATGCAGGTTGGTATTAGCATCAGGGGGCCCAGAAACATGTTTCCTGTATTCTCAACTGACTTCCCTTTGAATCCTTAGACTTTTGATTTTTATTTTATTAAAAGAGCTTACTGTCAGCTTCAGAATTTCTAAACCATGCAGTATCTTTGAAACACAACAAAACGAGATTTTCAGATGATGCTGGTAATTTTCAAGAAGGTGTAAAGGATCCAGAATGCTAGAAAAATTTCAAGATGAAAAAGCACCTTATTTTAGAAACTTTCCTAAGGTAATGGAATTGAACAGTAGAGACACAGCAGCAGACAGTGGCATTATCTTTCATGATGAACCATCAGAGATATCTGCTTGTGAGTCAGGGCTCAACTACTGCTTAAGAATGAGAGAGGCAGGAGATGAGATGGTGGAGTAGGACATGAATTCACCTCCTCTCACAAAAACACCAAAATCACAACTAATTGCTGAATAGCCATTGACCAAAAAAAGACTTAAACCCACCAAAAAAGGTATTCTACACCCAAAGACAAAGAAGTCACAGTGAGATTGTAGGAATGCTTCTGTTTTATAATCAACTCCCAAATCTAGTGGGAGGGTGACCTGCAAACTGGAAAATAATCATATCACAGAGACTGTCCCATAGAAGTGAGAGTTCTGAGCCCCACATCAGGCTCCCCAGCCTGAGGGTCTGGAATAAGAAGAAAGAGCCTCCAGAGCATTTGGCTTTGAAAACCAGTTGGGCTTGACTGCAGGTGCTCCACAGGACTGGGGGGAAGAAGAGACTCCACTCTTGGAGGGTGCACACGAGGTTTCACATGCACTGGGACCCAGGGCAAAGCAGTGACTCTGTAGGCACATGGGCTAGACCTACCTTTGGTTCTTAAGTGGGGGTCCTGGGAGGCGGGGTCAGCTGTGGCTCACTGTAGGGGCAAGGACAGGGGTAGTGAACACCCCAGGGAAGGCTCATCATTGTGAGCTCTCACAGAGATGGCCATTTTGGAACCTGGCTTCACCCAACAGCCACCCATAAACACATCACTTGAGACAGTCCTGCCTATCAGAGGGACAAAACCCAGCGTTACCCACAGTGGCAAGTACCAGTCCCTAGACGAAACTCACCCGCCAGGGGGAAAGGCACCAGAACCAAGGAGAACTGTAGTCCTGCAGCTTGGAAATAGGGACCACAGATGCACAAAATTAGATACAATGAGATGGCAGAAAAATATGTTCTAGATGAAGGAGTAAGATAAAACCCAAGAAGAACAACTAAGCGAAATGAAGATAGGCGTAATAGTAAAGAAGATCCAAGATCTCAGGAAAAGAATGGAGGCATAGACTGAGGGGATACAATAAAGAGCTAGATGCTTTAAAGAACAGAGATGAACAATAACTGAATTGAAAAATACAGTAGATGGAATCAATAGTAGAATAAATGAGGCAGATGAAAAAGTGAGCTGGACACCAGATTGCTGGAAATCACTGTTTGGAACAGAATTAAGAAAAAAGAATGAAAAGAAATGTTGACAGTCCAAGAGGCTTCTGAGACAACATTAAATGTACCAATGTTTGCATTAAAGGGGTCCCAGAAGGAGAAGAAAGGGCCTGAGAAATATTTGAAGAGATAATAGCCCAAAAATTCCCTAAGGAAAGGAAACACACACTCAAGTTCAAGACGTGCAGAGAATTCCATACAGGATAAACCCAATGAGGAACACATTAAGACACACATTAATCAAATTGACAAAAAGAGAAAATATTAAAAGCAACTAGAGAATTCCTGTCTGGTTATCAGCTGATGTTTTTTAAGCAGAAACTCTGCAGGCCAGAAGGGAGTGGCATGATATATTTAACGTGATGAAAGGGAAAAACATACAAACAAGAATATCCAGCAAGGATCTTGCTTAGCTTTGACAGAGAAATCAAAAGCTTTACAGACAAGCAAAAGCTAAAAGAACTCAGCACACCCAAATCATCTTTACAACAAGAAAGGAACTTTTCTAGACAGAAAAGTAAGACCACAACTAAAAATGAGAAAATTACTAATGGGAAAGTTCACTGGTAAAGGCAACCAAACAGTAAAAGTAGGAAATCAGTCACTCACAAATACAATATCAAGACCAGCAATGGTGAGGAGAGTACAAATACATTTGAAATTAAGAGACCAGCAACTTAATCTTTGTGTGTGTGTGTGTGTGTGTGTGTAGACTGCTATATCAAAACCTCATGGTAATTGCAAGCCAAAAACCTATGAGAGATACACGCTCACAAAAAGTAATCCAAACCCAATACTAAAGATATTCATCAGATCACAAGGGAAGGGAAGAAAAAAGACCTATAAAAACAAATCCAAAACAACTAACAAAATGGCCTTAAGAACATATATATTGATAATTACCTTAAATGTAAGCAGATTAAATGCTTCATTCAGAAGACGCAGATTGGTTGAATGGATATAGAAACAAGACACACACACATATATGCTGTCCTCAAGAGACCCACTTCAGATCTAAGGACACATACAAACTGAAAGGGGATGGAGAAAGGTATTCCATACAAATGAAAATCAAAGAAAGCTGGAATAGCAATACTCATGTCAGGCAAAATTGACTTTAAAATGAAAAATGTTACAAGAGACAAAAAAGGACAGTACAAAATAATCAAGATTAATCCAAGCAGGTACAACAATTGTAAGTATGCACCCAGTATAGCATTTGTCTTATACATTGGGGAACTCCTAGCAGTCATAAAAGGAGAAATCGACAGTAACACAACAATAGTGGGGGATTTTAACACCCCACTTACATCGATGGACGGATGCAGACAGAAAATCAATAAGGAAACACAGGCCTTAAATGACACA